GCAAAAACTCTAATTTACCCTAACTATAAAAAGTAAAAGTAAAACTTTCGATTCTATTATATATTACAACTATTGAGGTAGTACAATTAGTAGTAAATGAATTATAAATTAAATTATTCAAAATAAAAGAGGATTATAAGAAAATATAAGCAAATTTTCGAGTCCTCACACAAACCCAACTCACAGTCAAAGTTTAATGTCTAACAAGGTTTGTGGTGCAAGATTCCTCCAAAATTTCTTGAAAAATAAGGGCTAACAGTAGTCAAAAGTTTCGGCTAGCAAGAAGCTTTCAAAACAGAATTTTTCCACCAAAATTTTCAACAAAATCCAACTAAGATTCAAGCTTTCCAAGAAATATACACACAAGCCACAACATCAAGCTTTAAAGCACCAGAATGTACCACAAACATTCATCATAAAAGCATAAGAATGATCCTCAAGTCATCTACCTAGCTTGCCATGAAAACACAAGGAATTTTTCCTCAAGTCATCTACCTAAATCAAGGTTTCAAAGAAACCCATCAACAACCCATTAAAGATCAATCTCTCTAACTACAAATCTACTAGAAACTTGAAGGAAAAAAGTTCCAAGCCAATACCTCTCCTAACAATTTCAATCAAGCAACAAGCCCAAGTTTCCTCCAAGAGTTGCCTCCAAGCAAGACTTCCTTCCAAACTCAAGCAAGGTTCCAAGAATCAACCAAATTTGGGGAAGATTAAAGCAAGAAATGGAGGAAGAAAGTTGAACTTTTCTTCTTGTTTTTGGTAGGAGAAGCTCGGCCTGGAAAAAGGAAGAGAAAAAGTGATGGGAAAAAGTGAGAGTTTGTTGGGTTTTACAAGCAACCAAAGTCAACTAGAAATAGTGCGAGAATAGCGTTCAACTCTCAGTTCTTGTCAATCTCCTTCAAGATTCAAATCCTACTACACTTTCATGATTATGATCATGTTTTGCTAGTTGGTTGTACTAGTATGGCTCAGTAAAATTTAACGTAGCTACACTAAAACGTGCGCGTAAAAGATTTTTACTAATCCAACTAGTGATTAAATTACTAAGCAAAAAAAAATGATTTAAAACGAATAAGTTGAGAAAAGATAGGAAATTAAACATGTGAATAAATAGTTAAAGGAATAATTAAATGATTTAAACACTTGAATAAATATATATAAATAAATTTTTTTTTTTTAGTTTTTACACAACTTCCACCATTAAATTATTCTTTTCCTATTAAACAATGAAGAGATCTTCTTCTAACCTTCTTTGGTCTTTTTTTTTTTTCTCGTCTAGCCATTTTTTGGAGACCTTTATGATTTCTGCCTTAAAGCTGCTGCCCATTATGGCGAAACTGCAATTGCTGCCTGGTTGAATGGTGACCTCCAAGGTACGAATCTAAAAAATAAAGTGCATTAGACTCTTTACAGAAATATATTTCCTTGTCATCAAGCAACCTCGTGCATCTTCTTTATAGATTCTTGTCCAGTGCGAAGGACATTCTTCTAATGGAGGAATTCGAAATTGGATGAATCAAAGCTTGTTTAATTGATATCAATCTTATTGAACATGGTAGGCATTGGTCTTGAATTTTATAACATACCGGACTGTCCTATGATGTCAATCCCATCGCAATCTAGTTGAGTTTTCTTTGATGTAGCAGTGGATAAAATCTTTCCATACATCCTGCATTTTGATAGACAAGCGCATGTTGCTTGGTGCTTTCTATAATTCTGATTAATTAGGCAGCAGTCCTTTTTTATTTCTTTTTTTGGTGGGTAGAATTTTCCAATATTCCTTGTAAGTTTAAGCAACGCATTAGCTTTGTGCCTTGGCCTTCAAAATTTGATTTGGTAGCTTGTTTCACGTTGTTTGCTTTTTGAAAAGAAAAGAAAGACTTGTTTTTCTTAACAGGACTGACAACCCAAATTAATGCACATAAAATGTTTGCTTTTTGTGCATCATCATTTTGATGGGTTTCTATTATGTAATATTTGAAAACTTGAGAGGGACAATTGCCCACCCTACATGGCCCGCCCCTGATCAGGACGGTAGATCAAAGTGGTTGAGAAAGGGAAATTTGTAAGTTAAAGCCTTGAGGAAATATAACTCTCAGAAGGGGTGAAGAGATAAAAATGGCAAAGATTTAAGAAGAGGAAAGTTGTAAAATTGTTGAGTGGTTGTTGAAAGATTTCAGGTTGTATTTATTTGAAAGCCTTTTTATTTCTTTTATTTTAAACTTTTTGCCCTTTTTGGCTATAAATTTATTAGCTCAAAAAATGAAATAGTAGAAAATGGCTCGCAGTTCTATAAAGAAAGGATTAAGTTACATTTGTTGTGCATTAGTACTAAATTCATTTTTCACTAGTGAAGTTTAAGCTTGTGAAAAAAATGTGAAGCTTAATCTTGTAATATACTTATCACTTTGAATTTTGATTTTTTTGTTTTACTTTGACACTTTGTGTTCTTTTTATATATTTTAAAGTTCTACATGCTGCCAATTTGAAGTATTTCTTTTTTTATTATTTTTTTAAGCAGAAATTGGGTAGGATTTAAGAAGTAAGGAGAGAGAAGGAGATTTGAACCCGAAACTTCTAAACCTTGAGATTTCAAACTTAGTTACTAAACTAAGGTCTTCTTAGTCCCAATTTAATAATTTGACTAAAATTAATCTATATGTTGTTCACACATATACGTTCTGTTTGACAATGCATAATCTTGTGGTGTTTCTTTTAATAAGTTTAGTAATTGGTCGAAAGTCGAATGCATGACATTAATACAAGTATCGTCTCAAGCCCCAATTCAGCTTGTGGAGATTTTAGTTGGATAATTATGAGATTTTTAATTCAACTCTTAAGAACTTCTCTTTACCTTTTGCCTTGTGACATTAAGATTTCTCCTAGAAAGAGAAAAGCAAAGAAAACAAAAGGGGTTGTAAAGTTTTGTAATTAAAACATTGAGGAGCAAAGTGAAAATAAAAAGAACTTCGAGGGTGCAAAGTGGAATAAAACCTTTACAGTAATGGAAGATGAACTTCAAAATTCTAAGAACTTGTTTGGATTGGAATTTTTCAAGAGTTTTTGGGAAAGGCACATATAAAGATAACATATTCCTACATGTTTTCAGATTTTCCTGTTTTGGCTTGATGTACAAAGCTCTATCTAGATCTCACTGCCAATGAAACATGGGTTCCATATATAAGAGAACAATTGAAGCAAAATTTTTCAATTTTGTTCCTATGCCATTTCTCTATTGAAATGTAACACAATCTGTGTATGATTTCTTTTTTCGGTGTCTCCACTTGATATTTATTGCAAAACAGTTATTGTACCTTTTAACGTATCTATAAATTGAGTGTATGGTTCTTTATTGAGGAAAAATAAAGCAAGTTACAATTGTATGTATCGCTCTGCTGGTTTGAACATTTAAGTATCACATTGATTTCAGCTGCATCAAAGAAGATTCAACAAATTGGGATGATGAAATACAAACATATCGAACCTCAAACAAGAAAAGAACATGAAGAACATCTGGGTTTGTTTGGATTGGGCTTTATTTTCCCAAATTTATTTGCTTACATCATCATTATAATTTCCAATACACCTTTTTACTTTCCCAATTACCTTTTTATCTCACATACATCACATCACAAAAAGTGCTACAGTAAAAATATCTCTAATAATTCACAATCCAAACAGAATATTATTGGATTGATTAATCACAAATCACAAATTTATATGTCTGCAGCAGGTTCAAACAAAAGAGTTGAAAAGGTACTAATACTGCTTCAAGAAACATATGCAGATCATGATGAGACATGAATGCTTCACCATCGTAAGAAGTTAGGAGAAACATGAATAATTATACATAAAACTGAGGCATAGGACTCTGCTTCTGAGAAATTCAACTCTGCTCCCATTCCCTGCTGTAGAATTTGCTTCACAGAACTTGAAACAGACTCGCCATATTCCCCTAAACAAGAAGGGACCTCTCGCAGTCTTCAACCTTTTCTAGTGTGATGAGAAGAAATAATTGCAGTACCACACCAGTTGAATGAAGAGGAACACAGATCACCCAACCAAAAAAGTCATCTAGTTTCTCTGATTTGTCATTTTGATTAGTTCGAGCAATTCACCACTTAACTGGAAAATAAAACATGAAGCAACATTAAAAAAAATTAAGAAAAACTGCTTCCTTTAGAATAAATATTGTTTATTGAGTAATAAAAATGTTTGTGCTTCAGCAAAATATAGTGAAGAAAGACACATGTTTTCAGATATTTAAAACTATTTCTAGATCTCAATGTCAATGAAACATGCTTTTCATATTAACAATGTCATGCAAATTATAAAGGTCAAGTATTGACGCAAAATTATACTATTAAGTCCTATGCCCTTTCTCTGTTGAAAAGTAACAAAACACAGTTTTTTTTTGTTGGTCTGTCTCAACACATCAATCAATTGAGGGCACAATCACACATATGTAGCACATGCATACATACATACATATAATATATAATTGAAACAAGAAGAAGATTTCACAAATTGGGACTAAAAATTCTTATATAAACAATGGATTTGTTTGGATAGGGTATTATTTGAAATATTATTTGAAATAATTATTGTAGCACTTTTTGTGATGTGATGTATGTGAAATAAAAAGGTGGAAAAGAACAAGGTTATATAGAAACCCCATTTGGTTTGGTTAATGCATGAAATAAGAAAGTTATATAGAAGCGTAAGGTCCACACAAAAAAAAAAAGAAAGAAAAGAATTTGGAGGCGACCAGAAATTGCTTCAATAAACATGAATTAATAATATCATTTAGCTGATTCAACATATAATTAGATGAAAAAAAGAGACATGAATGGTTCAACATATGCAAATGGGCTTTTATCTGACCTGATGAGCGGAATCCCACTCCACAAGAATGGGACACGAATGCTTCACCATTGTCGAGAATGGAAAAGGACTGTTTTTGAGGAAATCTCCTCTGCTTCTGAGAGAGTTGACTATCCTTCTTGGGAACTCGACTCGTCTTCTGAGGAAGATGGTTCAGAACTATCTTCAATCACCATCTTTAGAACCACATTTCCCCCATCCATCTGTTCTTGCCGAATTTGATTTACAGAATTTACAACAAACACACTACAACCTACCACCGCAATCATTTCAAGAGTCGGACAGTCCCCTAAACAAGAAGGGACCTCTACCAGATTCCAACAGCTGTGCACGACCAATTTCTCAAGACGAGAAAAATTACCAGAAGATGCGGTCCATCTGCGAATGCCCAACCCTGACAATTGCAAGACTCGGAGGTTAGGGAACTCCCCTTCTTTCATTACCCATACTTTCCCAACAAAGGACTTCCTCAGTAATTTAAGCACTTCAAGGTGAGGCAACTTTCCAACTGTTGAAATTTCACTCCATGGCTGATAATTCCATTTGAGAGTCAACTTCTTCAAATTCAATGGGAATTTAAATCCATATCCACCAAAATCAGTCAAACAAAGTGATTGTAGTTGATTCAAACAGTCAAACACAAGAATCTTGTCGCAATTTCTGAGAGCTGCTTGTAAACGATATGGTCTCCAACATTTTAGCCTACGGATGCTTGGTAACTTTTTCAGTATCTTTTGCAAGTGTCTTTTGCAAGTATCTTTTGCAGTATCAATTGCAAGGTTTAAAGTGTCTAAATGATCTAAATCAGGGGATACTTCAAGATTTCCATCTGGAAAAATGAAACCCCAAGTCGCAAATTCCAATTTCTTAATATTGAGATAACTCAATGTATTAATGTTCCAAATAGTTTCCGGCAGCTCAACATCAGAAAGCGGCACTCGTACGATAAGAACTTTCAACCCTGAGAGGTTGTCTATTGCAGATGGGATGGATCGTATTCGACAGAGCACCAGGTATCTCAAGTGAACAAGCAATACTACTTCCATCGGAAATGATTTCCTAAAATTCAAAACCCCCAAATCCAACACTCTAAGAAGTTTAGGTAACAAAATCCCCCCATCCTCCTCTTGATTTCCAAGTAAGAGCAAACAGCGTAAATTGGGAAAAAGTAGCATTAACTCCCAACTCTTCAATTTCCTGGTATCATGAACACAAACTCGGTGGGGATTGCTTGGTCCAGTAAGACCAAAAGGGTCTTTCCAACTATGAATAATATGTAGAAAACATTCTTCTTCGGCTTTTTTCACACAAAACTCGTGTACCAAATCATGAAGTTGGCAGGTTTTGGCACCATTCATGGCTCCTTTTTTGTTAGCCACAACTAAACTTCTATTAATTAGACCCATCAAGTTGTTGTAAGCCGCTTCCTCTAAACTCTTTCCTTCAATCTGTTGCACGAATCCTTCAGAGATCCAAAGCCATAACAACTTTCGGACACTAATAACCCCATCTTCTTGAAATGCAGCAAAGGATAGAAAACATGACTTCAAATAATCCGGTAAATGACTATAACTCAGCTCAACTGTCTTCATGCAGTATTCATCCTGAAGGACAACAGAGTTTAGAGTTTTTGCAACTTCTTCCCAACTATCTTGTGCAATAGTAGCAAGAATTCCAGCAACAAGGACAATTGTGAGGGGTAAGCCCCTACAAATTTTTGCTATTCGATATGCAACTTCACTTAGTTCTGGAGGACAACCTTCTTTGTCAAATAGCTTTTTCTGTAGCAATGCCCAACTCTCTTCGTCAGTAAGTTGGCAGAGATGGTAAGGCTCGCTGCCAGGTTTAAATTGCAAAGACAAATCCTGGAATCTGCTGGTGAAAAGAATCCTGCTTCCATTGACATCATTTGGCAATGAGTTTTCCAACAAATTCCATGCCTCAACATCCCACAAGTCATCTAAAATGAGGAGATACCTAGTTCTCAGCAAAACTTGCTTTAGCTTCTGAACCAAATCATTTTCATCCATCTTAAGATATTCGTCTGGACTCTTAGAATGAATACTACACAAAAGCTGAACAAACAAACTGTGCTTGCTATATGTTTGAGAAACACAACACCAGCCACGAACATGGAAATATGACCTAACTGAAGAAGCAGTATAAACTTTATTGGCTAATGTGGTCTTACCAAGCCCAGGCATACCCACAATGGGAACAACATCCAACTGCTTTAATCCTCTCGTAAGTCGATCAATGATAGTTTTCACCTTGTCATCAAGACCCACGAGATCCTCATTGTGTACGGCGACAGCAAGTTGTGACGCTATGTGAATGGAATTCTTGTTAACTCTCTGGGTTTGACCATTATTGATCTCCAGGGCTTCAATCTTCAGAAGATTTATATCTCTAGCAATAGCATCCAAAGAATCTTCACATTTATCACCAACAAGTGTCGAGTTAATCAATAACTCTGCCTTATATGCAACCTCCATAACATAACTCTAGAAAACTTGGAGTTTTCCATTCTGAAAGCGCTGCTCCTTGATATTCTCAAGGACAGATCTTAAGAATACGAGATCTTTGTGGACCAGTTGGATTCTATCCAATCGGACAACATTTGAATCATCAGCCTCATCACACCTTACTAGTTCCTGGAGATCTTCTAGGAAAAAATCCATACAGCCCAACTCATTGGATCTACGATAATTACATGATGAATATGGTGATGTTACCAGATAATTGTGTGCAAGATCTGCCATCATATACTTGAGAACTTTGTGCAAATGAAACAGCCTAAGATATGTTTCCCTGGGCAAGCCTTCTTTGATTTCATTGACAGAAAGGGAGAAGATCAGAATTCCTGCATCACAGACTGCAAGTCCAAGAAGATCCTTCATTTCATCATCTAGTTTCTCCTCTTGCTTGAGAAGGGTACTCAAGTAACTTATTCCCTGATGGAGTTTTAGAATATGATCCTTAACTGGAACCTGAAAACTGGCATGGTATCCCGGTAGATCCATAAGATAATGGTGGAGAGACTCAACAAATTGAACTACAACTGGACACCCATTCTCCTCAAGGGCAAAAGCACATGATGATCTTGATTGTTTCTTTGAAGCTGTCAGGACATCTATGTAAGTTTCTCGGACTTGAGGATCAAGAGGATTTATCTTCTTAAGTATCAGCTGAGAAATTTCGGATTCCATTTGATTGACCACTTGTTTATCATATCCGCCAAACTGACATACAAAAAATAGGCGTGCAGCCCAAACTGCAACTTGACTGAAGAGATCTGTCAGTTGCATACACTCAACACCTCGCATTGTCACAAAGCCAATGAGATTCCTTAAGAGCATTAGCTTGTGTCTAATGATATCCATTAGCTTCCAGGAACAAAAGTCTTTCAGAGTCTGTGAAAGGGACACAATAAGATCCATAACTAGTCGTGGATCTGCCGGTGAGTAACAGTCGAAGAAGATGATGCTGCATGATTTCTTGACATCTGTCCCAAGAAAAAGTATGATATTTTCCCGGGATCTGGTCGCCGCACTATCTATGATGCCAAAATCTGACTCACCAGAATGTTTGAATAGAAGATAAGCAGAACGAAGATCATGAATCATCCTGATAACCACATCTTGAATTCTGAAGCAAATAATACTACGTCTCAAACTTTCAGACAAAGTATTATCTTTGTGCTCCTGATCATGCTCCAAAAGCGCTTCATGGTTCCTCCTCCTCCTACACATTTTGACATACAGAAAAAAGGTTTTCAATAATCTTACCTTCTTCTTCAGGTACTCGAGTTCCCTGTAGATAGTGCTGGAGGAGACCGGGAACTTGGCAAGACAATCTAAAGCGAGATCAAAGCAACTAGCACTAGTGCTGGAGGAGATGTGATGCGATTGCAGATAGTCGTATAAAGCAAAATCAGATCAACTAGTGTTACTGCTGGAGGGGACGTCCATTATTTTTCTTTTTTTCATGGGTAAGTAGGGGACCTCCATTCCGGTATCTTCTTTTCACTCTGATATCAGATTTCTATCTGGTGGTTTAACCACTGAATAAAATTAGTTCAGGATCTACACTTTTCTCTTCTAACAATAGCAAACAAAAAATAGGCTGGAACTTTTTTTTTTTTTTACTTTTTTGGTGTAAATATTGGAAGAGACTATCTTGTTCAGAGAAGATATGGTGCAGCAGAACTGCAGAAGCGATGAAATTATCTTGTTCACACTCCCAGCAACTTCATTAGTGCCTGCCAAACAAAGACCAAGACCAAGGTCAAATTTATCATTTTCGTCCCTTGAAACTAAGGTATTGATCAATCTGGTCCTTTATTAGTGGTACCAATTTGGTTGCTTTTTTTTTTAATGACCAAATTGGAGATAGATTCCTCCCATTTCCAGGTCAAATTTGCAGTCACGTGAGCATTAAGATCACGACATTCATGTAATGGTTTCTGCGTTAATTTCGATATTGTACTCAAACAATTTGTTAGATTATGGTTTTCAAATTTCAGGTTCTCAAACTAATTGTCTAATTGAACCACAATGTAAATCAATCAGAGAAGCAGCCAGAGCCTTCTCCCTATAATATTGCTGCTGGCTTGTAGCTCTAATTAAATATTTACGGAGGTACAACTTATTTTAAAAATGTAGAATGCAATTAAAGAAAATGATTTTGTGCTCCAAAAAGAAAAATATTGTTCGACTATTAACTCAAATTTAGTTGCTCCTTTTCGTATAAATTGTATGTTTTTATTTTTTTTAAAAAAAGGGATCCTTTGACGAGTGCTCTAAGAGCACCCCTTTAACACGTTTAAAATTCACCTAATTCACCCCTTTGACGAGCCGTCAATTTAAAGTTGGAGCTCAAGTTCGAAAAACTAAAAAATAATTAATTTATTTTTTAAAAATAAATAAAATAATATTTTTTTAATAATTAATAAAATATTAGAAATATATATATAATTTTATTATTAATAAAATAATATATATATATATATATACTCATGAATCAACTTGCGAGTTAACAAGTTTAATATTTTTGAACTCGAATTTAATATTAATCAAAAGTGAGCCGAATTTTGACTCAAGCTGCTCAATTAATTTGTAGCCCTACTTGTTACATAGGTTTTTTTAAAATTTATTTCCCTTCTGTCTTTTTAGAGGTAATAGGGATGGTATTTTAATTTAGGCCTATCATTCTTTTGGGTCCCTACCAACCGAAGGCCACCACCCACCAGGCGCTAGCAAAGAGGAACAAGGACCACCATCCGCAAAATGGGACCCGCGGGTAACTGGTGTCTTAACTTTTAATGGGTCTCACACTCCCAAATTCCAATTTAGCCAGGAGGAAAGAAAGACGATGAAGAACCACTGGGCCAACGGCTCAGTGGCCCCAGGGAGGGGTTTAAATCCCTCTTTGGACTGTAGATGAAGATTCAAACCTCACTTACAGCAAAAAAAATTTTAGAAGTTGTGTCAGAACACTCCCTTAATCTAGTTGGGTCTGGCTACCCACTGGCCCCCTACCACAGCCTCCTTAGGCTCCCCCTTCCCCCTTCCCCCTTCCCCCTAAATATATCATTGCTAACAAAAAAAAAAAAAAGAAAGACGATGAAGTGTAAAAGAGAAAGAGAAAAAAAGTGAAAATTATTTGGCAAAGGGATCCATGTAGCAATAGAGACTCCAACATTCATCCAATTCGAAAATTTTATGCCAGTTTGAACCAACTATTAAGCATGTTTAGTAGTCAATTCCAAATCAATGAAAAAGTTTCATGTGGACATATAAAGGTGATCCTTGATTTCATTTGACATGCCAAATGGACTAGGATCTTTATATATATCTATACTAAGTATAAGTAGTAGTTGCTGGGCATTATTCTGGAGCAACTACTAAGCATGTTTAGCAGTTATTTCCGAATCAATGAAAAAGTTTCATGTAAACATATAAGAGTTGTACTTGATTTCATTTAATATGGCAAATGGATTCCACTTAACATGTAAATGAGCAAATAGGATCCTTATATATCTATGTATAGTTTCTCTATTGATTTTGATTCTGAAGTAACTACTTAAATATCTCTGTAGAACCTCTCTATTGATTCTGGACTAACTATTTGGTATGTCTAGTAGTTGCTCCGAACTGAGATAAAATTTCTTATCCAATCATGATTGGTTCATTCTATTTCTCACAGATCCCATTTATGGATGTCGTTAATTTTTTTTTAATAGTATCCTTCCCGCATATGTAAATGGAAGATGTTAGCATGATGTATTTGAAACTTAATGACTAAGCACATAAAAATTACTTTTCAGTCACTTTTTGTAGGTGCATTCAAACGGGTATAGCAAATTAAAGTGTGGAATTGAAGTGAAAAACCTATAAATACCCTTATTTGTTGCCTGCTGGACAAAGCGGGGAAACAGCGAGAAGCTGAAATGACCAAAAAGAGGAAAACTTGAGGTTTGAGCATAAGAGAATTTGTCACATTGACTAGAACAATAAGGGCCCGTTTGCAGTAGCTTATTGAAAAGTGTTTCTTTAATAGACCTTTTAATAAAGTGCTTATTGAGTGATTAAGTGCTTTTAGATATTTTGTTTAAAAATATAGTTTAATAAATACTTATTGTATTGAATAATAAGTAATTTGAAAATTTTGAAATATATTTATTATTTATTTAGTTCATAATATAGGATAAAATAATTAAATTTATTATTTTATTTCTTAAATCACAAAAGTTACTCTAAAAGTGCTAAATTTGAGCTTTTGCTAAAAGTATTTTTAATACCAAAATCTCCCCTCCTAAACTTATGGGATGATATTCACTAAACAACTTCAAAGTACTTTTAACACCTAAAAGTGCATTTTTTCCAAAGGTGCCGCAACCCCAAATGGGACCTAAGTGGTGAAGATCAACTGAACAACCGCAAGCTGCAATAAATTTTTTGAAGCGCATAGCTGGCTATATATATATATATAAGTATGGTATGATTAATTAGTACTCAATGGGCTGTAGTTAAGAGAGGTTTCATGTATTAGTTTCTTACAAAAGTATAGTTAATTTAGAAAAGTGTCAAGATGTAGATGATACAATAATTGTCATTGTGTATATTTGTATGGTAAGTTAAATATAATTTAGAAGTGTAATTAGTGCTCCTGTTAGAAAAATTTATAGTCCAAATTTCAAATTTCTACAACTTTCTTAGTATGATTTAACAACTGTAAGTTTGTAACCTGTCAAGACTCTTTTTGGCATATACATTGCCAGTAAGACATTTTCTTCTTGGTTTGTGTGGTGGGGTTTGGAAGTGATAAATATCGCAAGACTTTTTCTCCTTCCACTTGAAACTTAATCAAAGAAAGATGCTATTGGTGACCCCAACAAATGAGCTTCATTATTGGAGGCACTAACTTCACTTTGCTGCATTATTAGAATAGTGATCTGTTTGAGTAGTTGTTGGGTTAAGACCATTAGAATAGT